AAAAAAAAAAAAAAAAAAAAAAAAAAAAAAAGGGAGGGGGAGAGAGTGTCCTTTCACGCGTAGCCGCGACAGGTGTAGCTTACGTGACATCAGTTTTTACGAAAACCAACAAAGTACCGATTCATTCTTATTCTTATTGCGGTCGCCCTTACAACATCATGTATTTCGATTTACTGGAGTGTAGGGATTGTCAAGCAAGGAGAATGTTTTGGCAGTTGATTAGGTAATGAAAGTAAAAAAAACGACCAGCGAACAGCTAGTGTTATAATTCCCAAATATTGCAATTTTAATAATCACAAAAACTCGGAAGATTTATCAAAAAGTGAAAATCAATCAACAAATTTATTACGCACTTCATACGGGAAAAAAATTTTTTTTCGTGATTTCTTATTGACGTTTGAAATTAGCCGGAGCAAGTAAGCACTAGCGGTACTACCGTCACATACGCTGATGAACGTCAAATACTACATGTTTTTACTACATTTTTTACTGCTTCTCTTTTTTTCCTTCTTATTTAGCGTCGCGTACTAAAGAGATATTTATCTGGTCATTCAGTGTTGGCGGTTTACAACATTTTGAGTCAAGAAGCCCTAACTTTTTAGTTCGACTTATTTTACTAAAAAACAGGATAAACTTGATTGCTACTTCTATTTACATCCTTGAAGGATCAGAAGGCTGTAGATAGTCATTTTTTAGACATCACTGTGTTTTAAAGATTGAGCAGCAAATAAGGCTGGACAGGATACAGCGGAACAAAAAATTACATACTTCAAACAGTACAGAAACCCCATTTGTCGTACTTCCAATTTACTATAATTTATTAGAGCTTTAGCCGGTCAATTCACGTCGGAGGCTTGTTTATTACATGAAAATTGGGCACGCAAGACTTGTAAGGACACAAAGTTCCAAAGATCAGCACAAGCAGATACGGAAGTCTAATGTTCTCACTCCCTTGAAATCAAATTTTGCAGACAAGTTAGCAAACGTTTGAAATTTTGCCAACGGTAAAGTTCCATTCGTTTCAGAGGCCAGGAAAGGGGTTGGAGAAGGTTGGGATGGATGATTATTTAATAGATGAGTGAGGAAAGAGTCTCGTTCATTCAGGCAAAATTTTTTTTACATTTTTGTTGTTACACATGTTTTAAGCTCATTGTTCTGAAGGATATGATGTTTTTATAATGCTAATGTATCCACTATTCGAGGTTAATAAAGTTACCACTGGCAAAAAACAACAGTAATGTTGGTAGTACGTAAGGAGATCGTGGGGTTTTGTCAGCTTCTTTGTACGCATCACCGTAAGCTTTAATTGAGCCAATTATCATAAATTTATTTGTTCTATATGGTAGTTACAGTTAAAAATCCGGTTTAAATGAGTTCGTAGATTTGACAGTAGTCGATGAGTGTTAAA